AGGACACAAACTCTTCAGGACTTCCAAACATCAAGAATGGAAACCCGGATGGCGCCCCGCGCCCTCCTTTGGCTGCTCACCGACGCCCTAGTCCTGACCCAGATCCACGCGGGTGAGTGTCGGGTCGGGACAGAAAAGGCCCCCGCAGGGAGGAGCGAGGGCCCCGCCCGCAGCGCCGCAGACCCTCCCCGCTCCCCGGCTGGGCGCCCCCGGCCCGGCTCCTTCTCCACCCGAGCCCGGAGCCCTCAGCTGCCCTCCCGGCCGCGCCCCTGCCCCGGTCTCACCGCGCGCCCCCCAACGCAGGCCCGCACTCGCTGAGCTGTTTGGGCACCGCTGTTTACCGTCCGGGTCAGCAGAAGCTTCGTTTTGTGGGAGCCGGCTACGTGGATGACACGCAGATCCTGTGCTACGACAGTGCGGCAGTGAGTGGGATGGTGAAGCCTCGGGCTGCCTTCATGGAGCTGGAGGACCGGGAGCATTTGGAGCAGCAGACAAGCCTGGTCAGGACTATCATGAAGGTTATCCGAAGGGAACTGCAGATCCCGCTCAGCTACTACAACCAGAGCAAGGACAGTGAGTGATTCGGATCGGGATGTTTGTCTCACCCCTCACCCGGGGTTGGTATCCCAGTTCCTGCGGTGATTTATCGGGGTTCTCTCAGTTTGAAATGGGCTCTGCCCTGTCACCTCCCTTGAGGCACTGGCAGGAGGTAATGGGCAGAACCATCTTTACAGTCTTAGACTGACCTCCTTGTCTGCAACAGGTTCTCACACTGTTCAAGTGTTGTTCCGCTGTGATGTAGGGCCAGACAGGCGCCTCCTTCGCGGGAACTATCAGTACGCCTATGATGGCCATGATTACATCTCTCTAAACACGGACCTGAGCTCCTGGACTGCAGCAGACTCAGTGGCTGAGATCACCCAGCGCAAGCTGGAGGCCGCTGGAGTTTCGAAGGAGTGCAGGTTTTTCTTGGAGGACAAGTGTGTGGAGTGGCTCTACAGGTACCTGGAGAAGGGGAAGGAAAATCTGGAGCGCTCAGGTATGAACAATAACCCATCCTGGAATCTGGAAATGTGGAACCCATGGGAAAAATAAGACTTCGAGGAGGGAAAAGGTGGGATAAAAATGATAGCAGACACCCCTCATTCCAACCTTTAGTGTTGAGGAAGGGAAACAAATCTATAACTCCACAAAAAGATGGGGCCTCAATGATGGCCCAGTACAGGAAACCATGGTGATCAGGAACACTCTGGCTGTGAACTATTTGGATCAGGAAAGACTTTTGAACAAAGGAATGAAAGACCTCTCACACCTACTGATAACTCTGGGGGGCATAGGGGCAGACGGGATCTGAGTGCTGTGTAAACAGAGAAGCTGAGTAATATACTTCCTCCTCCTACGTTCTTAAGACAAAGGCTGCATACACTGAGGCAACAGAAAAAGAAAATCACTAGACTGACAAGATGGCTCAGTGGGGAATCAGTGGGGAAAGGGCTTGCCGCCAAGCCTGACAACTTGAGTTCAGAAGTCCAGACCCACATGATAGAAGGAGAGAACAAACTTCTACAAGTTGACTCCTGATCTCCACACATGTGCCACAGCAGACACAGACACACAGACAGATGCAGAGAGAACTTGAGTTCAGAAATCCAGACCCACATGATAGAAGGAGAGAACAAACTTCTACAAGTTGACTTCTGACCTCCACACATGTGCCACAGCAGACACAGACACACAGACAGATGCAGAGAGAGAGAGAGAGAGAGAGAGAGAGAGAGAAAGAGAGAAAGAGCACTCTCATGCATAATCATGCAAAATAAATGTTAAGAGAAAAATCAGTCCAGTCCCTGATGAACTGGCTCATATAGGCAGTTAGAAAACCTTGGCTATCACTGGTTGAGGGCCCCATGAAGCTAATAAAGGACAGGCAGGGATTGGACATGAAGGAAGTGGCGTTTGATGCCCAGTTTGCTTGGCTTTATACTACTGTTCACAGGAAATGTAAGGAAGAAGTTAATTCAACAGGGACCTAGGACTGACATGGAACATTGATGGCTCCCAGATGGGAAGTGATCTTCAGTTATGAGGAAGGACAGACTGTGGCATGTAAAGTGGGCTTGTGAGGAGCTAAGACACTCTAAAAATGATAATTGACAGGAAGGCAAATTCAGTGCTTGAGAACTTCTGTACGACTTTAAAGGCCAAACCATTAAAAGGGTTAAAGAGCTGCAGATGGTCCCCACTGTGAGTGCTGCTATGGAGGAAGAGGACCCTATGGAAAGGAAAGGGCTTCAGCCTGTTCTCTAATGGGTAGCCAAGGCTTCCTGCAGGTGGAGACTAAGCAGGGTGACTGAAGGTTCAACCTTGAACTGTAGATTGGTCTACTAATAATGCACAGAAGATTTGGGTTTGGGTGGATGCTGAAGCTAGGTGTGCCTTGGCTCCTGGAGGCCCCCAGGAACATCAAGGTAATTGAGCATCTGTAGATGGATATGGAGATACAGCAGTGGAGGTAAAAAGAATTAAGCTGTCCTAGAGGTGAGCAATTATTTCTCCTCCTCCCAGTCACTAAATGATGGCCCCACTAGAACCCACACCCTACTCCATTAGTTCCAAAACAGCATCAGAAACTAGGGGCCAAGGGCTCAAACAAATCAAACTCTGAAAAGAGTGACTAGCACTTCCCTTTGGACTCAGCCCTTCTTTCTGCCCATGTTTACAGATCAGACTCCAGCTTTTCAGAGTCACTGGGTTTTAACAGACTGAGAAATATTGGGACTAATAACCCCAATCTAGAATTTTCCAAGAAATAGAAAGTTCTCCATCTTAAGTCCAGGCTACTTAAGTACTACTCTCTAAATTCCCAACCTAACTGTATGGTCCATTTTGAGAATGGTCACATGATCAATACCCAGGTAGTTCTTGGGAAGGTTGTTTATCTCTGATCTTTTTCTTCAGATGCCCCCAAAACAAAAGTGACCCATCATCCCAGACCTGAAGGGGACATCACCCTGAGGTGCTGGGCCCTAGGCTTCTACCCTGCGGACATCACCCTGACCTGGCAGAGGGATGGGGAGGACCTGACCCAGGACATGGAGCTTGTGGAGACCAGGCCTGCAGGGGATGGAAACTTCCAGAAGTGGGCAGCTGTGGTGGTGCCTTCTGGAGAGGAGCAGAGATACACATGCCATGTGCAGCATGAGGGGCTGCCTGAGCCCCTCACCCTGAGATGGGGTAAGGAGGGGTGTGGACACAGAGCCTGCTGTCAGGGAAAGCAGGAGCCTTCTGGAGACCCTGAGCAGGGCCAGTGCTGAGAGCTGGGGTCAGGCCCTGTCCTAGTCTGTTCTTCATTGCTGTGACAAAACACTCTGACCAGTACCAACTTGGGGAGGAAAGGGTTTATTTGTCTTACATCTCCCAGGTCGCACGCAGTTCATCAGGGAGCCCAAGGTAGGAACTCAGGGCAGGAACCTGGAGGCAGGAGCTGGAGCACAGGCCATGGAGGAATGCTGCTTACTGGCTTGCTCTCTTGGCCCCTGCTCAGCCTGCTTTCTTATGCAACACAGGCCCACCTGCCCAGGGGTGGCACCACCCACAGTGGGCTCGGCCCTCCCACATCACTCATCAAGAAGATGCCCTTCAGACATGGCCACAGGCCAGTCCAATAGAGGAAATTTCCCAATTGAGGCTCCCTCAACCCAGGTGTGTCAAGTTGACACTAAAGCTATCCAGCACAGGCCCTCACCTTCCCTTCCCTTCCCTTCCCAGAGCCTCCTCAGCCCACCATCCCCATCATGGGAATTATTGCTGGCATGGTCCTCTTTGGAGCTTTGGTCACTGGAGCTGTGGCTGCCATGGTGATGACAAAGAGAAAGAGTACAGGTAGGGAAGGGGTGGCATTTGAGGTTTGGCCTATTGGGAAATTTCAAGTCCTGTATGCAAATGTGCCCATCTCCACTTGTGCTACTGAGGAATGCTAATATGTGCTACTCACTCTGGGTTGTAACTGACACAAAGAACATGGGAGAATGGAGAACAAATATTTCATGCTGATAGTTCTGGTAGTGTGGACCTGTTCCTAGCAGATAGGAATCAGATAAGGATAAGGCTCTTGGTGGTCTTCCTACACAGCTACTTTTCACATGTTTTCTGTCCCTGCCATGGATGTACAGCCACAACCCTGGAAAATTCTCTGAGGCCCAGGACTGGAGTTTCCTCTAGGACATCACCATCCTGCACCCTTCTCTGTCGTTTTCCTCCCAGAGATGGCTAATAGCTGTATGTAAAGCAGGGTGCTTGAACTTTTACTCAAAGTTACCAGTGCCTATCTGGTAATTTATTGGCCGCAGTGCTTTCTTTCTTAGGGCTAAAAGCATAGTAAATATTAGCTTTTAGTCCAGGAGTGAACCTTTATCCTGGCCTAATCTCTTAGCTAATGATAGCTGAGTTATTTGTTCAGGACAGGGAGGTGGGCTAAGGGCTGTTGACCAAGATGCTTTCCCTCAGAGCAAGGAGCTTAGACTTTTGACCCGACCACTTTTCTCCTGCTGGTCCTGCAGTGTTCTGTGAGATGGGAATCTGAGAGCTGCTGTGTTTAGCACACTTCTTTCAGCAGAGAACATAGCCTCTGCTGAAAGCTTTAGGCTCATCTCGTCCTAGGGCATGCCATCCTGGTTTCCTACAGAGACGGAAAAGAATGTCGTTACGTAACTATCCTATTTCTTTTTATTTTTTACTTTTTGGTCTTTTTGAGATAGGGTGTCCATGTAGCTCCAGCTGTCCTAGAACTCACTATGTAAACCAGGCTGGCCTTGAACTCACAGAGATCCGCCTGCCTCTGCCTCCCGAGGGCTGGGATTAAAGGTGTGTGCCACCACGCCCAGCTACCTATCCTATTTCTACTTCCACCCTCTGGCCTCTTGTCCCAGAACTTGTACTCCCTTTATACATTAGAGGAACATCCCACTAGAAAGGAGGGAGAGACCAAGTCCCCCATCACTTTCCCAAACATGCCTGCAGCTGGGCACAACAGCATGAGTCCTGGGCTCCACCAGCTGGATGAGCACATGCTGGACCTCCACTCAGCACATGGAGAGAAGGAAAAGCTAGAACTGCATAGAATGCATCTTGTCAAGGTGACATTGCCACATCCAGTTTCCAGGAGCAGCGGGGAAGCTGTCCCAGCCACATCACCGCACTGGGTGTCAGGGTGTGAGCAGTGGGCCCTGTGTGGGTCCCGGTGCTGGTGGGCTTGTGTGTTCTTCTCCTAACCATGAAACCTTACGCTTGGTGCTTTAGCTTTTTCTAAATATATATATATATTCTCCTACTCTCCAATATCACATATAGAATTTTTTATGCTTAAATAATAATTTAGATTCTATTTTTTGTGCCCAAAGTCACAAATCAGTCCAGGGAATTCTCGGGTAACATCATTGAGAGACTTTCCTTGTGTCAATGGCTTCCTATGTTTTCCACTGAGGCTGTGCCCATGGGAAAGAAAACAGTATGTACCTGTCACCATGATAACTCAGGGCTCATGGTACATGTCCTTCCTCAGTGAAAAAAAAATACATCTCACTAGGACTGTTCTGCACTGTGGGTGCCGCTCAGCTCACTGATATCAGTGGGCTCCACTGTTGTTCCAAAACACTGAGGCCTCCCCCCAGAGCCATCACTTGGACTGTTCATCATGGAGGCCAGGTGTTATTTCTTCTTCTCTTTTTCAGTAGAGTCTCACACTGCACTCCAGGCTGATTTGGAACTTACAATGTAGCTGTAATGGATCATCTTCACCGTTACTGCAACTGGATTTAGAATATTCCAGATTTTTCAATTTGGGGCATGCCTGTGAGGGTGTTTCCAAAGAGCATTAACTGAGGAGGGAAGATCTACCCTGAAAATGGGCAGTGCCATCCTACATGGTGCTGCAAACTGAAGGAAAGAGGGAAAGGAGACAGCGGACAGGAACCAGCATCTCTTCTTCCTGATCCGTGGAGACCTGTGGAGTCCGGCCACCTGCTCCAGCTGCCATCAACTCCACCAGACTTTCCTGCCATGAAGGGCTGCACCTCTTAAATCACAAATCAAATAAATCCTTCTTCCCTTAAGTCGCTCCTTTCAACTATCTTTTCATATAGAAAAGTAACTAATACCGGAGCCCTGGCTGCCCTGGTGCTCACAGAACTCCTGCTCTTGTCTACTGAGTGCTGATAATACAAATGTGAGCCAAATACCAGGCTCCAGGAGTAACTGTGCAAGCTGTAAGGGAGGCTGATGCATCACTAGGCATGTGTGGTCGGCATCCTTGAAGCTGCATGGTCCCAACACCAGTAACCTCAGTCCAACTCATGACACAGAATCTAAGCTCTGCACCAGAATCTTGGGAAGATGTCCAGGGGACCCCTGTGCACAGGAAAGCTTGGCCTCTCCGTAGATTGTCTAGGGCTGGCCACAGAACTGTGTGTTCTCTTCCAGGTTTGTGATCTGAATGTGAAATGTCTTCTATAGGTTCATGTGTTTGAATACTTGGTCCTTAGCATGTGATGATGTTTGGGAAGGTTGTGAGCCTTATAAGGTGGAGCCTTGCTCAAGGAAGTGGTTGCTGGTGGCCAGCCAGTTATACTGGCTCATACCTATAATTCTAGCTACTCCAGAAGCCGAGGCAGCAGAATTGCAAATTTGAGGCCAGCCTCAGAAGCTTAGTGAGATTCTGTCTCAAATGAAAAGTGAAAGGTGAGCCAGGTATGGTGGTGACACCTCTAGTCCCAGCACTGGGGAGGCAGAGGCAAGTAGACCTCTGTGAGTTCAAGGCCAGCTTGGTAAGGTCTCAGGTGTACTTCAATAACATAGTACTTGCCTAGCATGTATGAGACACTATGTTCAGTCCCCTAGGACCACAGAAGAAGGAGGTGGAGGGAGAGGAGAAGTAGGAAGAAGAAAGTTAAAAACAAGTCATTGTAATCTGGCCTGGTGACTCACACCTGTCATCCCAGCACTCTGGAGGCTGAGGCAGGAGATGATTGGTTTGAGACCAGCCTGGTGTTTTAGAAAGACCTTTTCTTAAAGAACAGGAGTTTCAGTTTCAGCAGATAGAGCTCCTCTCTCAGTTCTAAGCCCATCCTCAGTGCAGCGCCTCTCCTCAGTCCTCCATCTGCTCAATAACTTTGATCACCTCATGTTGTCCATGTTGTTAATGTTAAAACCACATTAAACTGAGAAAAGCAGACACTGCGCTGGATCTCAGCCACAAGACTGAGGAGAAATCATTTGTTTGTTCAGACCGACTCTCAATCTTTATCCCAGATTGGCCTGGACCTCACTCTGTAGTCTAGGTTGGGCTTATTTTCAACAATCTTCCTGCTTCAGTCTCCCAGGATCTTGGATTATAGGTGTGAGCCAACATATATGACTCTCCAAATCACTTATCATTATTACTCTATAAACGGTATGATAGTTGGGAATTTAGTAAACTAGGATTATTCTTCCTTATCACAATGATTTTTAAAAAATATTTATTATTTTTATTTTATGTGTATGAGTGTATTGCCTGCATGTATGTGAGTGCACCTGTGTCATGCAATGCTGTGGAGATCAGAAGAGGGCTTCAGATTTCCCTGGAACTGCAGTTAAGGACGGTTCATAGCGGCCATGTGAGTGCTGGGAATCAAACCCAGGTCCTCTGCAAGAGCAGTCAGTGCTCTTAACCCTGAGCCATCTCTCCAGCCCCATCACATTGATTTTTTACATTTTCTTGATTTAACATTTTTCTTGCTGTTTATTTAATGCTGTAGACTTGATGCTCCCTTGTTAGCAGACTTAGGATCAAAGCCTGTACCTTGGCAGCTCCAAAGCCAGGCTCTGCTGCCTTCAATAAGTCAATTAAAAGATAAAAATTAATAGTGAAATGGGGGGACTTATTGAATGTAAGCACGTTGAGAAGAGGGACATAATGATCCAGCAGACCCCAAGTCTGTCTTCAGAGTCCTTACATGAAGGTGAGGTTTAAACAGAAGACAAGAGGCATGATTAGGCCGTCCCAGTCAAAGTGTGGGCTCACCTACCCTTGACTCATCATTTTCTGGGTTTCTGTCTCATTCCAGAAGGTGATCCTACAGCTATTAGAACCATGGGAACTCTTTTCTGGAGAGTCTTCCTATGTCCGGCCACAGGCTTTGGTGTTGTTCTTCCTGCAGCATGAGACCCTTGGGAAATTCCAGTTCCCTGAGGTTCCCTGTTTCAGAGTCTCATGCGCACAAAGAGGGACACAGGTGCCTTTAAACTATCCTCACCCCTGCCAGATTGATTACACCCCCAAAGCTCATATTTTAAAACAGCCCACTGCAATGTGATAGTATTTGATGGACTTTGGGAGGTGCTGAGATCAGGAGTGTACAGCCTTTATGAATGGGATCAGTCCCCGTACAGAAAAGATCCCAGGAAGATCCTTCATCTCTTCTGCCATGTTGAGGATCAACAAAAGGTGACAAGACAGGGTCCATGGTTCAGGGAGTGTTCCTCACAGATACTCAATTGTCAGTACCTTGATCTTGGACTTCCCAGACTTTAGATGATGAGAACTCCAGCTAGGATTACAGGGGAATGCCACCATGCCCAGCTTCTTCATGGTCATTTTTTTTGAGTCCCATTCTGTCTAGTAGCATCCTAAGTGGATAGTCAGATTGCCAGGAGAATGAAGTAACTGATGTAATCACTTTGGAAGGAGAAGACTCTTCCCACTCATGACTGGTTGGCCCCTTGCTTTGGGCCTGTGGTAGGGCACATATTGTGGAAGATGATTTTTGCAAAGAAAAACAACCTTATTTCAGAAGCCAGGAAGCAAACAAGAGACTAGGTCCCTCAGTCCCTTTCAAGGGTAAGTTCCCAATACCTAAGGACCTCCTTTAAGGAACAACCTCCCAAGGTTTCATAGCATCCCAGTATAACCACCCTGACCCACACCTTTAACACAAGGGCCTTGGGGCAGAGAATAAGGGGTCATTGAAAGGAAAGCTTTGAGCCCTCACTCAACCTGAGACCAAGTCCGCAGCCACCCCAGCACTTAATCAAATATTAAACTCGCATAGAGCACTCTGCTGGAAATACTTTCCTTGGAATGTGGAAGATGTTGCTCCATTGTCTCTGTATATTCTGGCTTTCTTCTTAGTTTCTGTGTTGATACAGAGTCTCACCATGTAACACAGGAGAACCCGGAGCTCATGATCCTCCTGCCTTAGCCTCCCAAGCACTGGAATTACAGGAGTGTGCCACTGCACTTGGCTTGGGCATGTCAATTTGTAGCTATCTTTCCTCTCTTCCATGATTGGCTGCATTATGAATAAGTTCTTTGCTTTTTTCGAAACGTATCATGTCCATGATTGGCAGATGTGTGGCAGGCACAACAGGCCTGGTTCTGTAGGAGCCATAGATCTGTATCCCAGAACTCTGCTCCTGATTTCAGAAGGTCCTATTATAAGGTGGAATTCACCATCTGTAATCCACTGGGGGGACCATGGACAGCTAATAAGTCTCATTGACTACTCATGGCTACAGGGTAGTTTCAAGTAGGCTAGAGGAATCAGAGAGCCTGGCTGAGGGCTGCTGACAGGAACACCCATGCTCAGAGAGCTATAAGGGACTCCCACTTCCGCCATGTTGCCTCTGAGTCCTCTCTTGGGAGCCCCACCTCCATCACCATTTTTCCCACTATTTTTCTTTTTTAAAATATTTTATTTATTTTTATTTTATGTGTCTGAGTGTATTGCCTGCATGTAGGTAAGTGCACCCATGTCATGCAATGCCGGCGGAGGACAGAAAAGGCTGTCGGATCCCCTGGGACTGGAGTTATGGACAGTTGTTAGCTGCTATGCGGGTGCTGGGATTCGAACCCGGGTCCTCTGCAAGAACAGCCAGTGTTCTTAACCGCTGAGCCATCTCTCCAGCCCCACCATGCTTTCTTTGTCTGGTGCTGGACCCTGAACTCACATCAGAGTCCTACCACTCTGTTGTCTATCTGTCTGTCTGTCTGCCCATGGCCTTAATAAATTTTCTAATGAACTCCATACTCCCAAAAACCTGTCTCCATATCCCCCCTGAATTCGCATCCCAGACATTTCAAAGGAAGCATTTTTATTTCCATACCCTCTGATAAAACTTCAAGCTTCCTACTTTCTTTGCTTTATAGAAGCCTGATTGGATTTAAAACCCTCTGAAGAAAATGACAGCTCACAGGAAGTTCCACGGTGTGAGAATCCCACACATTTGAGGCTGGACTGCCGCTGACCACAGACCTACAGTCCTTGCCTAAGACGGGAACAAACTTTTCCCTTTAGAAGTCCAGCATCACCTCACCTCACAAGACGCATAAAATCCCCCCTTTCAACAAGACGTCTGATCTCTCTTACTCATCTGTAACCCCAAGATGAAAAAATGGGGTATATATCAAATCCATCAATTAGCAAAAGATTTAAAGGCCATAAACTACTCATATTTCCTTACATTGATATGGCCTGGTTTACAGTATCAGCCTCTGCTCATCTTTCATTTAGATTCCTTTACAATGTCATTATTCTTGACATTTACCTTTAGAGAGAGATAATCATCTTAGAATCCTATGTATAACCAAGCACACTGTGAATCTCCCTCAGGATCGTTTAGATTCCATAGTCTTTACCTAACAGTCAACTCTTGAACAGTATGTTGACAATTTCTTGTTTTTATCAAACAGGGTATACTTACAGATCATTATTCTTCTGAAAGCTCTTGCTGAATGAGGCCATGAAGCCTCCAGACCCAATGGAACAAAAAACGTGCTCCAATGTAGGACATGAGGAACCTCAGGTCACTCCAAAGCTCATCTCAAAATGCCTGGAGTTGATTTTGTCCATGCTACTCCTCCAAAGAAGCAGTTACATACATTTATGTGAGCAAGTGGCTGCCACCACCAATGGATTCCTAATGCTGCCACTCATTCTGAGCCCCATCCACTACACTTCAATCCATTTCCTCTGCCTCAGCGGTACTAGCTTCCTTTGAAACCCTGCACGTAGCATTGTCCACAGTCCTGCTCTGCAGTTTACC